GAAATCGTGCGGTCTGAATTGCCTATTGTAGGCGACGTTGAGACGCTCCAGATCCAAGTTGAATGAGGTCAATTGGAGTTGTGAGCAGATCGCTATGAACGTTTAAAGCCGCTGTGCAGAAATCTGACTGCGCACTCTATCTTTGGCTCTAGGCACATTGAAGCCTATTGGAGCCTATTGTGACTATAACAGACTCGCCGTTGCTTCGCTGTAATTCGCTTCGTTTGTAGTTCGATGTTTCGACACAACAGAAGCCTTAACTACTTGTTTCCAACAGGAGTAAGGGGGGCGCGGGGGAGGGGGCTGGGCCAGGAAGGCATGTCAACCATTCTCGTTATTCGTTTTACCGCGCACTCTGCAAGTTTATTCAAAACACCTAGTGAAATCCTGTTATCTCGTTGCGTTGCACCCGTAACAATTACAAAAAAACGTTTGAACCTGTTATGAGTTGTACTAAGAAGAGTGCGCGGAAGACTTTATAAAAGAGATGAAAGTACAGAATGTCGAGAATGATAAAGAGGCATGCATTTATAGGGTCAAAAACCGTGCTAGGCGAGGGCCTCGGGACGTGCGAGGCTTGGAAGTGTCGCGATTGGTGCGGGGCGACTCGGCGCTGGTTCGGTACGAAAGTGTAGGCCGAGCCCAAACTGACGCGAACAGTTCGGGCTGTCCTCGCTAGGAGCAGCCTCTACAGTAATGAATTCACATTCATTACACTCTCCCACCTTCTAAATAAGGTGCCCTTATACGTAGCCGAGTCTTGCAGTAGCGTGAAAACTGCAGATCTCGGTCGAAACTGATCTTACGGTGCGGAAGCATGTTGACTTTCGAGTTGACACGTGGCTGAGCGCGTTGACCAAGAGAATTTCAAAGAGTTGGGATGCCAGCCGTTGATACTGCCGATGTTGATCGGGCGGTTGAAAGTGAATGTCAATTTAAAATCTTTCGACGAAAGAAAGCCGTTGATGTAGCGGATACATGAAATCTGGCGGCGGATCTGACGCATGTCAGAAAACGAAGAGCCCGAAGCCGTCGATTTCCTTGAAGCCTATCGCGAGCGTCCGTCGTGCTGAGGCTGTCAGACGAGATGTCAGAAAAATCTGACAAGTACAGTGCGAGAGCACTCTTTCTCCCCCCCTCTGAAGATAGGGTTGCCCACCAAAACAGTACAGCTGCGCGGGTAAAATCTTCAACCTGCTTGTATGCCGGGGGTAGTCAGGACTGCCAAGTGTTATGAAATCCCCGTTAAATCATTGCAGCTGCCTGTCGAAATTGTAGTCGGTGTCGAAATCTTGACTCGACTACTTCGAGGGTAAACCGTGTTGAAGTCCCTGGAGTGGTCAAATCGTTGTGCGCTGAGACTCGAAACCCATGGAAATAGAAATTTTCTGCATAAACATTCTTCTTGTCTTGTAGTCGCAAGTGCTGCTGCAGCATCTCCCGTGACTGCCACCTCGAAATCCCCCGCGTGGCAAGTATCAAATCATCAGGATTCTGCCGAATCTACAGCTGGCAGCTTCTGCAATCCGAAATTTGCTATTGTTGTTCCGAAAATGTGGCAGACTCCTCGCTGTAACTGCTCCAGCTGTCAGCACCTCCGGCGTTCCTGTCGTCACTCGCCGAGGCCTTTGTCGCTTTGCTCCGAGAACTCTCGGGCAGAGGCGAAAACAGCTGCTGCTCTTCCCCCTGACTTCGCAAATATTTTTTAAAGGTTGAAACTCGAACTGTCGATGACGTCAGCTATCTCGGCAATGTTATCGTGACTCGTCGAAAACTTCGGGGCAGAGGCGAAAAAGCTGTCCTTCCTCCCCCCACCTGTTACGGCTGGTACCCCTGAACGGAGTCAGAATTAACGACCAACCCTGTTCCCGTCGGTTTTACGCGCTTAATCAAGCGCCTCTGCATCCTCGCCGTTTCAAAAGGAACCGCCGAACCGTTGCCGCCGAACTCCGCTAAGACCCAGCTCCCAGTACTGCTGCTGAAAACCCGTAAGTGTCGGTGCCGAAATTTCTCGTACGTCTTGGTCATCTGCAGGTTATCCCCTTGAAAAACGTGCCCACCCGTCGCCATTTTTTTCGCCTGTGGTTAACCACACTAGCAACCCACCACAAGGAGGTGCTCTTTCGTGCGGAACCCAGAATCATGGGTCTACCGGGACCGAATTTCACGGAACCTAGCCCGCATCAACGCCGCAGATCTCGCCGTAGGATTTCCCCAGATGGCTTCGAAGTACACCGTAGAACACTGAAACAGCTGGCGAGCAGACGTTCACCCGTCTCCCACCGTGGAAAGAACCCCGAAAATCATGGTTGTTGAAGCAGTCCCGAAGTATTTTCCGCCGCGTAACCCCGACGTTTCCGCCGTTAACCCTGGTACTCCGACGTTCACCCGTCTTCGCACCCGTCGAAATTACTTAGCGAATCCCAGGTATCCTTGGCGATACACCGCTCGCCGCGCCTCCATGTAACGATATCAAACCCTTTCGGGGGTCTACCGAATAGACTCCAAGATTCGCGGTGGATTGGTGTACAGGCTCAACCTTTCACTCTGGAGATCTGCTGGAGCACCCACAAATTTCCCTCCATTTAGTTTTGTCTTCACCCCCCGACAATTTCGCTTGCCGCCATTCACCTAGCGTCCGCTTTTGTCGGATGAGGTATAACTCCGTGTTACCCGCGCTCGGTGAAGGCGGGAATGCTATCGTAGCCGGGTCATGTTTATCGTATCAAACAGTCGGACCGGCCGCTTCGTTGCCCACCGCGTCTATCGCGTTTAAAACTCCACAGCTTCGGTCTTCGCCGCTACACCGCCGTCGGGTAGACCGTTGAATTAGGAGAAACTCCGACAGCTGCACCAACTGCTTCAGCTCCGACTTTTTCGGTGGAGTAACTGCTGCCGATGGTCTGGTTTTGTCGGGGCCAAAACAGTGTCGCTCCCAGAATTTTTCTTGTACGCCCAGCTGTCGAACTGGCGCAATACCCGCGCTTTTTAGCCAGCACAGGGCTAAACACAGGGCCCCACCTTTGTATCCAGTGGCCAATAGGACTTAAGATTTGCCTTCGAGGCCCTCTGGGCATGAGGTATGTGAAACGTTCGGAAACCTCGGCCGGTAGTGGTACCCATCCGGCTACCGCCGCTTAGCCGCAAACGTTTAGACATCAGCTTGAGCGTTTCCCCGTGGGTCGTAATTCTCGCCTCCTGAAGCTCGAAATCCGTTTCTCTCGCTAAACCCGATCTCGACGCAACTCCGTGTATTGTAGCCGGTAGAACCCCCGAAAATCGCGGGTCTAAACACTGCGCCGAAACGTTGTCCCGCTGGTGTACTGCCCTGTCTGCGGCGCAACTACTCTTGATCAGGGGGTACTGTGCCGCCTGAAGTACAGTATCGGCCGTTGCTATTGCTCCGAAAATGTCGCGGATCTTGTTGCAGGTGCAGCAGTGACCCTAGCGATAGACAGTCTAGTCGTAGGCGGCTTTCTCCGATCTTTTCAGTGGCTTAAAAAACAACTTCCGTCCCACACTGTGCCGCTTCTGCTGAAAACGCCAACGACGCACCCTCCTGCAGCCACACCGGCCACACCCGGGCGGAACGACGGTAGACCCCCGCTTTCTTCGGGCAGTCGTCACGCCGTCTCTCCTCGCCGTTGCATTTTCCGACGCAAATCACCATGCGCCTGGCCTGCCCGGCCAGCTGTCGTTTCACACGTGAAGCCACCCGAAATCTTCGCGCACAGTGACGACGCTCACAACGTGCAGAAGACCTCCGAGATTCTCGTGCGCAGCGTGACGAAATCGCCCGACGCCACTTGCCGCACGCATTAACTCCCGATTTTGTCGCGCGCAGTTGACGACCACGTGCCGACGCAACTCGCACAACGTCTTGTTTCCGACAACTTCGGACGTGCACTGACGGAGATCCTGTCGACGTCTCTGCCACACGCATTAACTCCGAAAATGCCGAAACGAATTAACCCACGCATTAATTGCGACGACAGCAAAAGCTGTCCACCACATGGGGGGAGGGAGGCCACGGTCGATCTTGACCGTCGAGGGCAAGGATCCGTCGGTGCAGCAGGAGTGCCAGTGAATTTCATGGCCGCTAGGAGCAACTGCCCGTTCTCCTGGCCGGCTACTGCGCTACTCCTGTCACCACGGCATCCTTCCCTGTCCCCCTCCCCCCCCCCCCAAGGGGTATTACACTCTAAAAAATGGGGAACCTAGGAAAGTAGCTCTGATACCAAGTGTTATGAGTTGTACTAAGAAGAGTGCGCGGAATACTTTTTAAAGAGATGAAAGTACAGAATGTCGAGAATGATAAAGAGGCATGCATTTATAGGGTCGAAAACCGTGCTAGGCGGGGGCCTCGGGACGTGCGAGGCTTGGACGTGTCTCGATTGGTGCGGGGCGACTCGGCGCTGGTTCGGTACGAAAGTGTAGGCCGAGCCCAAACTGACGCGAACAGTTCGGGCTGTCCTCGCTAGGAGCAGCCTCTACAGTAATGAATTCACATTCATTACAGAACCGATGTACTTGTCAAGGTCGATCTTCTTGCAAGGCCGATCCCCCCTCGAGATTGGTTCTTGACGGTTACAAGTGCAAGCAGGTCCCAAACCCCCCATCTTGCCAACGTTTAGGGCGTGGTCCACAATTGTTCAAGACGGCTTCTTGAACAGGCTGTTCAAGAAAATACATGGGTTGAAAACGGCTGATTTGCGTTTTTCACATGTTGCAGTACGGTATTCTTGAACATTTTGGGCTTGAGCAGCGCTTGAAACAAATGTGGTCCGTGCCGTTACTGTACCACGTCCTGACGGAATTCTATCAAACAAGAGGTGCGGCCAGGCAGATGGAGTGGTTGACCTGTAGATTACTACGGAAGCCGTCACTCAGCAGCATCGGCTGCCTCGCGCTTTAGTGAAACAGATTTAGCGTTGAATCCATCTCGGGGTGGATTCAGCGTGGGATAGTAGTTGTATGTCGCAGCGGGGTTTTCCTTTCAAATGGAGCGAATTCTGGCGGACGAGGCGCGGGAGGACGCGCTAGTGGTCGACGTCCGGCAGGTGGCGGGCGGCGGCGACGTGACGGCGCTATGGCGCGCGTGCGAGGAGAGCGTGGCCGTTAGGGGCGCGCGGTGAGTGGCGCGCGCGCGCGGAGAACGATGGGAATGTGCGGCTGGGATCTATTCGATTCTTAGCGAGAGGGGCGAGGGCCGGGGGGGGCGATTAAGGCGATGCGTGGCTGGCATGAACGGGGAAGCAGAGAGCGCAGCGGGCGATCGATGGGCGGGAGACCCGCGGGAGCGGGCGTTTGGGGGAAGATTTGAGCGGAACGGAGACAGGGGACAGAGAGGGGAGAGAGGAGCGAGGGCAGAGAGTCGAGAGAGCGAGGAGGGGAGAGCGGTGAGGAGACAGGGAAGAGGGGAGAGAGGAGAGGGGTGATCGATGTGTTTGACGTCTGCCACCGTGTCTGTCAAAACCTCCTGTGCCCTCCCTCTCTCCCCCCTCCCTACACTCCCCACTCGCTGCCTGGCATGGGGTCGCATGGGCTGGGGCGAGGGCAGCAGCGTGGAGTGGAGTGCAGAGGGCGTGCTGCGGAAGAAGCTCACCACACCGCATGCCATCTCGCAGGTGCTGCTCCATGTCATTTCTCATGCCATCTCCCAGGTGCTGCTCTCATGTCATTTCTCATGCCATCTCGCAGGTGGTGCCCTCATGTCATTTCTCATGCCATCTCCCAGGTGCTGCTCTCATGTCATTTCTCATGCCATCTCGCAGGTGCTGCTCTCATGTCATTTCTCATGCCGTCTCCCAGGTGATCATTGCTCGCATGCCGTCTCCCAGGTGATCATTGCTCTCATGCCATGGCTCTGTGTCTGCATGGCAGCATTGCTGCTCATCATCACCACATCTCACTCCACCCTCCCACCCCCCTTAACATCCCATTCTTACCCAGTCCCCCGCCTTCCTCTTCTCCCCCTCCCTCCACTCCGTCCATCCGTGCGTGTGCCCTCTGCCCATGAACATGAGTGCAGGCGGCGTGGGTGCGAATGCATGGAGAGGCAGCGCGCTCATGGCTCGCGCTGCTGCACGCGGATGGGCTCGCACTCGCCGCCACCAATGGTCAGTCACTCCTGCTCCCTCCGCGCCCACCTCTGTTGATAAGCCGGGGGTGACCTGCAAGGGGTCAAGCCGACGAGCAACCAGCCGCTTGCTCGCCCGTGGGGCAGCAATGGGTTGGTGGTACTGTCGTCAAACTGGTCACCAATAAGGTGACTTTTGACTTTTGAGTCGACTCAAAAGTCACCTCGACGGCCCCTTGCTCGCCCGTGTGGTGTGGCAGCAATGGGTTGGTGCTGTCCCTCAAACTGGTCACTAAAGCTCAACTGTTTCTCAACCTTCTTCCTGCACCCCTCATTCCTCTGCTCCCTCGCCACACTTCTCACACGTTGCTTCAAACTCTCTCACCTGCCTGCCGTGGCCTCTGCCCTCCCTGCCCCCCACTGCCCCCCCTGTCTGTCCTGCGTGCAGGTGACATGCACGAGATGCCGCTGCCCTTCTCTTCCTCGCGCCTCTGGCCCCTCCCCATCGGCCTGCTGCTGCAGCCCCTGCCGTCCCAGCCATCTCTGCCGTCCATGCCACCACACACACACGCCATCCCCCCATCTACACCTCTCCCCATCCACCCCCTCTCCCCCTCCCCCGCCGCACCTTTTCCGCCCTCCCCTCCCTTTGCCTTCCCCGTCCCCACTGCTGCTACTGCTCCCTTCCCCTCGCCCGCCTCCCCCATTCCATTCCCGGCTCTGTCCTCCCACACTCCTGCCATCACCCCCTCCCTGCCTGCCCCTGCCACTGGGACCACGCACTTGGGGAGGGCGCACATGGATTCGGGGTGCTTCACGCTCTCACATGCTCATGATGAACTACAGGTGAGGGAGCTGCTGGTGAGGGAGCTGCTGGTGAGGGAGCTGCTGGTGATGGTGCTGCTGGTGATGGTGCTGCTGGTGATGGTGCTGCTGGTGATGGTGCTGATGGTGAGGGCGATAGTGATGGTGATGGTGATATGATGGTCCCACATTACTTCCTCTCTCCCGTTTTCCACACTCCACTTGGCAGCTTTACACATCCGTTTCTTCCCCTTTCTCCCTCATTCTCTCCCCCTATTACTCGACCACTCTTCCTGGCACTATCCTCAACGTGCACTCTCTTCCCGGCACCCCTCCCCTTCCAGCCAGTGGCCATGGAAGGCGGGTCACCATGGCAGCAGGGAGGGGTTGAGGAGGTGCTCTGGTCGTCCACGAAGGTGCCACTGCATTTCCCTCAATGCACACTCCCTCTGACACCCTCCCCTCCCCTTCCCTCCCCGGGCTGCCAGTGGCAATGGAGGGCGGGCCGCCATGGCAGCAGGGGGGACCCGAGGAGGTGCTGTGGTCGTCCACCGAGGTGCCGCTGCTACCATGGTCACGCCCCTCCTCTCTCCGTCACCCCCCTTCCCACCGTCCTGCCCATCCCTTCCCCGGGCAGCCAGTGGGCATGGAAGGCGGGCCGCCATGGCAGCAGGGAGGATGGGGCGAGGAGGTGCTGTGGTCGTCCACGGAGGTGCCACTGCTCGCCACCTTCAACCACGGTTGGAACACGTCCCTCCACGCCTTCTCATTGCATCGCTTCTATTGCATCATATCATGACTCCCTGCCTATTCCCCCTCCACTGGTGGTTTATTTCTTTTTTCGTTATTGTCTTTGTTAGTTTGTTTGCTTTTATTTTGGTGTATAAGTTTAACCCTTTTGAGTGGATTGCAAATTGGCGCAAATTATTCTGCTCGGAAAAGGTTGGGTTGAGGAATTTGTCAACCCTTGATTCCCCCAACCCAAATTAACCAATCTTGGCCACTCTCCCATCCTAAACAACCTGCCTTTCGCTTGCAATTTCGTGTGCCTCCACTCCGTCATGTCTACCCCAACCATTGCTTCACTTCCCAACCCAACTTCCATCCCCTTATCACTCTTACTCACGTTCCCGTCATCAATCATTTCATCTACTCTCTGTCTTCCCCCTTTGCTCAAACCACAACCCTTTCTCCCTCAGCCCGTCGCCAGCACTCCGTGTGGCACCTGCGCTACCTCCCACAACGCTTCCTGCACCAGTCACCTGACGCCACGTCAGCAGCTGAGCAGGATGCGCTGATTGCCGGGCTGAGCCCCGTGTCTCCTGCAACTGCTGCTGTGAGGGCGGCGGGGGTGAGGGGGGCGGGGGTGAGGAGACCAGGCGTGGAGGGCGTAGGGGCAGGGGGAGGGGGCAGTGGGGGTGGGGGGGATGCGGGCATGGTGGGCGATCTGAGGCTGCAGGCGGGGCGAGGGGATGTGGGGGGGAGCGTGGGCAGTGGGGGAAGGCGGGGGAGGGGAGGTGCGGCAGGCACGGCAGCAGCGGCGAAGCTGAGTCGTTTTGCAGGGGGTGGGGGGGATGGGGGGGCTGGTGGAGGGGTGGGTGGGAAAGCAGCAGGCGGACATGCTGGGAGTGCTCGGGGGAGCATGGAGGGGCAGACGGTGGGGGGAGGGGCGGGTGGGCGGGACGGGGGCGGTGGGGAGGCAAGGACGGGAGGCGAGAGGTGGGATGCAGAGGGGGAGGGCGGAGGGTGGTGTGTGCGCATGACTCGCGTGTGGACGGGGCTTGCAGGCCAGGACAAGGCCTCCCACGTGCTGCTGCTCTCCCACACGCCCTTACCCTCCTCTCCCCCCGCCCCCTCCTCCTCCTGCCCCCACCGCACATCTCTCCCTGCTGCCATCGCGCCTCTCCTCAGCCCTTCGCCCCCCTGTGGCTCTGCCACTCTGGCCTTCTGCTTGCCAGCCCGCCACCGCGTGTGGGTGCAACACGTGGCGTATGGGAGGACGGGGGAGAGTAAGGGCGAGGGGGAGGCAGAGGAGGAGAGCAGGTTGTTAGGGGAGGGGGGGAGTGGGGAGGGGGGCGGTGAGGGAAGTGGAAGGGTGGTGCACATGGAGGGGCGGCGCTGCTGGTCGGTGGAGGCTGTCTCCGCCGTGGCTCTGGGGTGAGTCACCATGCAATTCAACATGCAGGTTGGTGTGATGAATTCAATCCCATCAACTCACTGGGGTGGTGTATCCCCGTTTTTGGAAACCTCGCTTTCACCAAGAGCTTGCGTAACCTCTTTGGCAAACGCCAACACACTAAAAACTGTGGGAGGGAGATATGATGCAGCATATGTTTTTTGAGAATTCTCAAAAAACATACGCCTCTGGTCGGTGGAGGCTGTCTCCGCCTTGGCTGTGGGGTGAGTCGCCTCGCACTCGTTATTCAATTCCTGGACACATAGTCAACCATCTGAGCTACTTGCTTTATGCACCTAGCAGCCTCACCTGTCTGCACCTAACAACTGTGGAAGCTGGATGCTGTTCTGTAATGGGGCTCCCTGTAACGAGTTCAAGTCCACCTGGGAACCTGGATCTGGATGACCCTCGTCTGAGAGGTGCGGTGCAGTTTGCTGTTGCTCCACTCCCCACCTTCTAATGCTGGAGCTGTCCATGAAGCATGTCGCTCACAAGCTGCTTCCATGCGTTGCATGTCCGTTGCACCATGTGCTGCTTGTTGCACCATGTGCTGCTTGTTGCACCATGTGCTGCTTGTTGCACCATGTGCTGCTTGTTGCACCATGTGCTGCTTGTTGCACCATGTGCTGCTTGTTGCTTGCTGCAACTCCTCCATCTCTCTCCCCCCTCTGCTGCGGCTCCCATCCATCTTGCGCATCTCCCGTGTGCTACCCTTCTCATCCCAGCCACACAGCTTCCAGCACCGCTCTGCACCGCATCAAACGCTTTCTTCTCCTTGTGGACCGGCATGGCTCGCTCATGCTGATGGTGGGTCGCTCCTGCTGCCTTGCTTCCACCTGCCTTGCGTCCACCAACAATACCCTAAACACGAGATACAACATGGGCACTGCACAACGTGAACATACTCAACTCCGCGCGATGGGAACAGAGAGTCCTTACGAATGCATGCATGCAATTGCGTGGCGTACACCGCCCCGCCACTGCCTTATCCTTACCCTCCCTACTCCACTGCTTCAATCGCCCACTCCGGTGTACCTTCAGTACCCTCACCCCCTCACCATCACCCTCCCCCCCCGCCTCCCCTCTCCCCTCCCCTCTCCCCTCCCCTCTCCCCTCCCCTCTCCCCTCCCCTCTCCCCTCCCCTCTCCTCTCCCCTCCCCTCTCTTTCAGCACGGCCCTCTGCTGCTCTGGCGGGCGCCCTGCACCACCTTCCTCGCCCACCATGGCATCCATGTGGACCAATCAGAATTCGCCACGTGTCCCCTGCGACTGGGTGCTGGCCTGGGAGACCGTGTGTCCATTGTTCTCCCCAACAACCAGGTAAGCCCTCCCCTCCTCTCCTCTCCTCTCCTCCTCTCCTCCTCTCCTCCTCTCCTCCTCTCCTCCTCTCCTCCTCTCCTCCTCTCCTCCTCTCGCCCACTTTTCCTCCTCTCCGCCTCTCCTCCTCCTCTCCTCCTCTGCCGCTCCTTATCTATACCCTCTCTTCTTCTTCACCTTCCCCCTCTCTACTTCATTTCCTCCTCACCTCCTCAACTCCTCACCTCCTCACCTCCTCACCTCCCCCCACCTCCTATCGTCCCTCCTCTCCCCCCCACCGCACCACCAAAAGCATCGCTTCCAAGTCAAGCTAGCAGTCGCTGCCCACCTGCCTGCCAGGTGTCTCGCTGCCATTCGTGCAAGCCCCTTCCCCCGCCGCCTCTCCCACGGCCTGCGCTGCGCCCTGCTCGCCCCGCACCTCTGGCGACTGCAGCAGCAACAGCGCAGGGGGGAGCAGAAGGCAGGGGAGCGTGTGGAGGGAGGTGGTGGGGCGGATGAGGGGCGGCGAGTGGAGGTTGAGAAGCTGTGTGCGCTGGTGGGCGCAGCTGGTGGCGGTGTTGATGCTGCTGCTGGTGAGAGTGGTGATGGTGGTGCAGAGGGAGGGGAGGGGGAGGAGTGGCGCACACTGCTGGGTGTGGTGGAGGAGTGGATTGAGGCGGCGCTGGTGGGGGGTGGTGGTGGCGCTGGCACTGGCAAGCAGGACATGGAAAGAGAGAGGAAGCAGGAGGGAGAGAGAGAAGGGGAGCAGGGCGCAGAGGCGATGGAGGTGGATGGTGAGGGCGACAGGGGCAGTGCAGGCAGGGGGGCACAAGGAGGTGCGAACGAAGGGGGCAGGTGGAACGAGGCACATGCAGGCGAGGGGAGTCAAGCAGCAGCAGGTGGGGAGGGAGGGGGCGAGGCGGGGCAGTCAGCATGGGAGGGGCTGCTGGGCAGCCGGCACCACCGCCACCTGCTGCTCGCCGGTGCTCCCCCCTGGATGCCCTTCCCCCTCCCCTCACCGCCCACTAGTGCGCACGCTGCTCCCCCTCGCCCTGCTGCTGCCAGCTCTGCTGCAACGGGCAGTGGGCCTGGGGGGCCGAGAGGGGGGTACAGGGAGGGCGTGCAGGTGGGGGGAGAGTGGGGCGAGGGCGGGGAGGGCGTGGGGGTGGGGGAGCTGGTGGAGTTGCTGCGGGCGCTGCACGGCATGTATGAGGAGAGCCGCCTTGACGCCCTCTGCCGCAGGTGGGTGAATAAGTGGGTGCGTGGGAGGTACTGCTGGCATGCTGTGGGGCCCCACAGTGGGGCTGCGGGGTGGGCGAGCTGGTGGGTTTGCTGCGGGCGCTGCACGGCGTGTATGAGGAGAGCCGCCTTGATGCCCTCTGCCGCAGGTGGGTGGGTGCATGGCGGGAGGGGGGTGTCGCTGCCATGCTGTGGGGGGGCTGGCCTGTCTGTGGGCCTCAACCCACAGCCATCCCAGGTGCACCAGTTTTGCTGAATATCACAACCTCTCCCCCTCCTCCCTGCTTACTCCACCTTGTTCTTCCTTCTTTTCTCCCATCCCCCACGCCCCCCCACCACCCAGCTCGCTGCCTACCCTGGCAGCGCTAGTGTGGGTGCTGGCGGCAGTACTGGGAGCGCATGACCTGTGCGACCACTACCAGCGCCACCACCCCTCCCTCGCCCTCCTCGCTCGCTCCTTCCCCTCCCTCCTCTCGCACAGCACACTGCCCCCACATCCTGCACTGCCATCCGTGGTGCCGTGTGTCTTCACCTGGTTGGCTCGCGCCGCGCAGTACGGTCCAAAGCATGCCGCCCCTTGGCTGGCGTGGATGCCGCCCTCCTTGCTGTCCGCCGCCGCCCAGCCCACGCTGGGCACCGCAGGGCAGGCGGCAGAGAAAGTGGGGGAAGAGGAGGTGGGCATGGGGGAGAGGAGAGGCAGAGAGGCGAGAGGAGGGCAGGGAGCAAGGGAGGGCAGGGGTGTGCAGGAGGGCGGTGAGTGGTGGGAGGAGTGGGGGGGCGAGGGGGAAGGGGGGCCTGGGCTGCTGCCCCTGGTGGTGGGGCTCTTCTCGCTGCTCTTCCCCCGCGGTGCCTGGTCCCGCCCTGCTGCCCGCGCGCCCTCTAAGGCCAGGCAGAGGCCTGCGGTGGGGGGAAGGGCACCGGGTGGCGGGAAGGCAGGCAGCGATAGGGGAGGAGGAAAAGCAGGAGCAGCGGGGGCTGAGAGTGGGGGCGGGGGCGTGGTGGCAGCAGCAGGGGAGCACAGTGTGGCGGGCGTGAGTGAGCGGTGTGTGGCAGCCATGGTGGCGGCACGCATGGGGAGGTCCGACCTGCAGAGGCTGCCCCCTGCCGTCGCCCTGCCCCTGCTGCAGGTCAGCCGCCCCTCATCCCCTCCCTCCCTGCTCTCTTCCGCGCTCCCTTCTTCCCCATGTTTCCACACCCTTCCTCCTGTCTCGTGTTTCTTAGAACCCCTTTCTTACTCAATCCCAGTCGCACCGCACTCCACCCCTTCCAACCCCTGCAGGTGCTGCACGTGTGCAGGGAAAACCCTCCTGGCTGGCCAGCAGCAGCATACGTGCTGGTGGGCCGGGACGACCTCGCTGCCACCGCCACCGCCTGCCTGCGCTGCTTCAGAGACGTCTCAAAACTCACCGCACTCCACCCCTTTCCACCCCTGCTGCAGGCCCTGCACGTGTGCAGGGAGAACCCTCCCCCCGGGTGGCCAGCAGCAGCATACGTGCTGGTGGGGAGGGACGACCTCGCTGCCACCGCCACCGCCTGCCTGCGCTGCTTCTCTCTCCACCACCACTCGCCACTGCCTCACTGCCCCTCCCCTCACTCGCATCTCAGCAGCACCGGGGAAGGCAGCACCACTGCAACCTTTTCACCACACACCACTGCATCGCCGCACTCCCCACACTCCCTCTCGCCACTCGCCTTCTCCTTCCCTCCCACTGTGCTCGTGCGCCCGCTCTCCCCTTTCCCCTCATCCCCCCACCCCGCCCTGCACCCCTCCCTCGCCCTCCCGGGATCCCACGCCTCTCAAGGCCTCGCCTCCGCCTCAGGGGTGGGCGTGGGGGGCATGGGGGCAGGGGCGGGCAGTGGGGTGGGGGTGGCAGGGGTATCGGATGCAGCGGGGGTGGGAGGGGGGGGGGCAGGTGTGGAGGGGGCGGGCGGTGAGGGCATGGTGGTGGACGGCATGGAGCATCTGCTGCTGCCTCCTGCCCGCTCCCTGCTGGCCTTACGCTTTCCCTGCGACCTGCGTCTTGCTGAGGTGAGCACGGGTCGAGGTGCGGGTGTGGTGTGGAAAGGGGGGGGGAGGGAGGGCGGCGAGGGCATGGTGGTGGACGGCATGGAGCATCTGCTGCTGCCGCCCGCCCGCTCCCTGCTGGCACTGTGCTTCCCCTGCGACCTGCGCCTTGCTGAGGTGAGTCACAGATGGGTAGAAAAGGAGGGGCACGGGCACTGTGGGGGCGCAATTGCTGAGAAGTTGCATGAGTGGGGCACTGAGGGGCGAAGCTGGGTGGTGGATGTATCAGTGCGGATGGTGCAATGTGAGCGAAGCGATGGTGATACATTGCCTCTTCTGCTCTTGCCATCTCACTGCCCTGCTTTCCTATCCACCTCTCTGCCTGCAACCCCACTCAGATCACACCCCACCCACCACCTGGCAAGCAACCCGCTCCGTTCCCATCCCTCCTCTTTCCCCCCCGCGCTCTCCACGCTCTGCTCACCAGGTGCGACGGCTGTTGTGCTCTGCGCGTCCAGTGCCCCTGCCGGCCGCCGCTGCTTCCGACTCCTCCGACCCCGACGCCCTCGCCGCCCACCAGGTGCCCGTCTTAGCGAAGGTAGTGAGATCCAGTCGTCCCCCTTCCCTTCGTCTCATCAGCCTTACGGAATGTGTCATGACCCATACCATCTGCTCCTTTCAGTTCCGCCCATGACCATCCCTGCGTCCCACTACACCCTCCCCCCTCTTTCCCTTCCCCGCTTTCTTTATTGCTCGTTGCATCATCCCTGTGCTGTGCATCCCCCTCCATCTCCTCCCCCCATCAGGCGCGGCTATGGCAGGTGGCGCATCGCACGGTGGCGCTACCGCTGGGCCGGGCTGCCTTCACATTCGCCACGGCCCCGCCCACCCTTACCCAGGCACGCCTGCTGCCTTGCCTTGCCCCACCTTGCCCTTCCGCTCTGCTCTCTTCTCTGTCCATCTTCACCATACCATGGCATGCCTTGGCGTGGCATGGCATGGCATGAGTTTGGGATGGCATGGCATGGGCTCCTTGTCAGGAGCTATCTGTCCTTGTGTCCTTCATGTACCAGCATCATACTAGGTTTCACCTTAGTTGGGTTGGGGAATCCAACCAATCTGGGCCAAAAGGCTGGGGTGGGTTGGAGAACTATGGAGGGGCATTTTTTCCTGGTTCGCGTAGACCAACACCCCATCGATGCATCCAACCCAACCTACTGGTGGGGACCAATTATTTTGGCCAAGCTCCCAACCCAACCACTCCCTCCTTCACAGTAATATCTGCCACTCTGCCCCTCTGCCTATCTCTCTGCCTCTCTGCCTGTGTGCGTGCTGCCTCTCGCCCACTGCAGGCCCTGTCAGTCCCCAAGCTAGTGCTGGCGGGGCGCTTGACAGCACAGAACGATGCCACGGTGGGTGGGTGACGCAGGGCCCACAGGACCCCACGGGAATAGATTCTACTCTCCGCTGCCACCCCTCATGCCCCCCCTGGGCCGGCGCTGCCATGCCTCTCTTCTCATCCCGCTTCTCCATCTAACTGAACTGCTTTGCGGTTTTGGATTGAAACAGGCAGCGGGCTTGCATGCGAGCCCCTTAAAGCCTCTTTCCCCGTTGACTGCACTCCCCGCCCACCATTGCGTCTCACTCCCTCCTTCAGGTGGGGCTGGACGGCTCGCTGGGCAACCTATCAGAGCTCGCCACGTGGCCGGAGTTCCACAATGGTGTGGCAGCCGGCCTCAAGCTCGCCCGTGTGCCGGTGGGTCACCTCCCCTCACCGCACCTCACCCTCACCTCACCCTCACCTCACCTCACCTCACCTCACCTCGCTCGCCCCACCCCCTCTCTCCCTCTCTGCTGTCCCCCTGCAAGTCTGCTCACCTGTAGCCATGCTGCCTTCCCTCCAACAATCGTCTCAACTCGCACAACCAGCTGCCACCTCTTTTTTTTTTTTCTCCTAGTCCAGACCTCTTCAACCTATCCTTGTTACAAGCATTCGCACCTGCCCGTGTCCCCGCCCTGCTCTCCCAACCAGCGGGGCACGGTGACGCGGGCATGGGTGGGTGGTGTGCAACCGGCCAGTGGAGGCAAGCAGTGCGCACGGCGTGGTGCTGCTCTGTTGAGTCCACTCAAAAGCTCCATCCCTGCCTCTCCCTGCCCCTCCCTGACCCACACCAGCCGGGCACAGTGACGCGGGCATGGGTGGTGTACAACCGTCCCTCAGAGGCGTCGAGTGCGCACGGGGGGTTGCTCATGGCGCTGGGGCTGCGCGGCCACCTGCGTGTGCTCGCCCCCACCGACTTCTTCCGTGACCTTGCCCTCGTGCGTGCCCTTCCCTTCATGCCCTCGTGCGTGTGTGCGCCCGCTCCCCTTTCCTGTTCGATTGGTGCTGTACGCTCCCCTCTGCCCTGTCGTCTCCCCCCCTCCCCTCTCTGCTGTGCCGTCTCTCCCTCCCATTCTCTCCCCTGCGTGTGCTCGCCCCCGCCCCTCCCCTCTCTGCCCTCGTGCGTTCCCCTCCCCTCGTTTCTGTTGCGTGGTGTTGCCACATCTCCTCCTTGCATCACCGCTCACGATTCACAGTGCTCCTCACTTCGTAGGCCCTTCCCCCCACCCAACCTACCTCCCTTCCCCCCCTTTTCCCACACCCCCCAGGAGCACGAGGCAACGACGGTGGGCGTGCTGCTGGGCGCTGCTGCATCGTACCGTGCCACAATGGATGCCAATATCTGCAAGGTGGACTAGATTCACTCACTCACACTTGCATTTGTACTTCTTTGTAGTTCAGTGTAGATGTAGTTTTCTCAGGTTGGGTGTTTCACATAACCCAACCTCAGCTCACCCAGATGTAATCACAAATCTTCCAGCCCTTGAAAATCTCCGGTGATCCCATTAGGGATTGCCACACCTCCCTGTCCATCCCTGTAACCCTTTCTTGTACCAAAAATTCCCTGGTTTCTACTATCTGTTCAGTCGATTCCAGCTCATGTTCTTGCATGGAACACGAATCTCTGCTCCTCTCTCATTCCTCTCTGCATCGCACCCCACCCCCAGATGCTCTATCTGCACATCCCATCGCGCCACCCGCCTTCCTTCCCCGACCTCGAGCTCCCTCCCAGCATTCAGGTACTTCATCTTTCCCGGACCCATGGATAAAGTACTCCATCCATCGCTTTCCTCGCATCCACTCTTCTTCTCCCACCATCTACGCACCACTCTTTTCTCCCTTCTTCATGTGCCTTCTAACTGTTGGCCCTTCTACCTCCACTTTTTCTCTCTTTCCTTGAGTACACACTCTGCTTCCCCTCATACATATGTTCCACTGCTACCCCCTTGCTCATACTCATTCTGCTCCATCCACCACCTGCTACCCTTTGCTCTGCACCTTTCCCCTCTTTCTCTCTAAACCCTGGCACAGACAGCAGCGCTGGTGGGGGTGGGGCTGCTGCACATGGAGTCAGCACACCGCCTCACCACCGAGATCTTGCTCGTGAGTTCAAAGTCCCTCTTGATTGCCCTGCTGCCTGCACATGGGACAAGCAAGAACTTGCCCCGTGTGAACAGAAGAGCCCAGACTTGTCCTGGCTGTGCCCTGAAGTAAAGTTACTTGTCGGCATTTGCAATCATCGCCATTCCATCTCCCCGCCCGCACTACTCCACTCCAGTGCGTGTTCGCTCCCTAGCATAGGGACTATGGGCTCGACCCTCCACCTTGCTCTCTTGTTCCCACGTTCAACCCTCAACCTACTTGTTCACTTCCCCCTCTCTCTCCTTTCTCTCCCCTTTCACCGTGTTCATCCCCATGCGCATCTCCTTCGTCCTCTCACCGCTTTCTCTCCTCTCACCCTGTCCCCGCCCTGCCAGGACGAGATAGGCCGCAAGCCGGAGGGGGAGGGCAGCATGGAGAGGGAGGGCTACTCCCTCGGAGCTGGCCTCGCACTGGGGCTAGTCACCCTCGGTACGCTGCTGCCATGGGGGCATGGGTAGTGGCGGGGTGGTACAGCACGGCACGCACATTGTTATGTCATCCAACGCATGTCAGACACATTGGGTGGTTTCCCCAGTCCAACTCTGTCTAACTCCAGCCCTGTCTGGCACACATCCGCCGCCCTTACCGTCTCCTCATCCTGTCGCCTCTGCTTCTCACCGGTACCCTTCCACCTGCCCCCAACACCCACTGTTGCCACAGGCACGGCGGGCAGGGCATGGGGGCTGTGGGATCTGCGCATGGAGGACCGTCTGCACCGCTACTTCGCTCTGTCTCTGTCTCAGTCTTGCCAATCCCCCCCCCACCCACGGGTGCATGCACTGCAGGCACGGCGGGCAGAGCATGGGGGCTGTGGGACCTGCGCATGGAGGACCGTCTGCACCGCTACTTCTCGCCCGCCCTCGACCCCTCCGTGCGCACCTCCTCCTGCCAGCCCCTCCTGCTCCTTGCGCCACCCTTCCCTCATAAGGGAAGCTTATTTGTCTTCTCAATGCCTTGATCGGCAACTGCTCTCCATGTTTCCCACAGCTTTCCCGCCCGACTTCACATCCTGTCTTCTTCCCATCTTTAACACCCTTTGCCCTCTCATCCCTCTCACTCTGCTACTCTTCGATCCTCGTCTTAGCAGCAGGGGCAGCAGGGGGCAGCGGGGCAGGCGGAGTGGACTTGGGGGGGAGGGGGGGCGGCAGGAGACAAGCCAGGGGGCATGGGGCAGTGGCCGGGTGCCAGTGCCAGCAGCAGTGGCCATGTGAGTTTGCTTGCTGCACCTCTGTGCCGTGTTCTCCGTGCACGTGGCCAGGGTTCGGGTTTAAAGTGTGGCGTTTCATATGTGCCGTTCTGGGTGTGGCGTTTCATATGTGCCGTTCTGGGTGTGGCGTTTCATATGTGCCGTTCTGGGTGTGGCGTTTCATATGTGCCGTTCTAGGTGTGGTGTTTCAGCAGACATACTTTTCAGCATGCATGGTCCATCGTGTGTTTGTGCCTTGCACCATCTGATCTAGCAAGCTTGCATTAGCCTGAGAGGGCAAGAGAGTTATACAAGAGCGACGAGCAACAGTGGTGGACAATCAGTCAGGAGGCTGGTTGGTTGGTGCAGGTGTGTCTGCCAGCAAGCGGCTCGCCACGCACACTGTTGGTGTGCCAAGCTCCAATGGGGGGTGCTGGGGTGCTGCCTAAACCTGAAACCCTAAACCCTGAAGCTTGTTGGACCGACACCAACTTAGGAACGATGCATTGGGTTCACCTCAAACAGAGCTTTCACCCAAACTATCTCCAATACAGCTACCATAATTGATCTTTCTAACAATGCATTGCTGCCATCACTGGGAAACAACCACCCACCCACCCCATCAGGTCCTGGAGGGGAACACACCCAACGTGGATGTCACAGCACCAGGAGCCATTCTCGCACTCGCCATGATGTACCTTCAGGTGGGTCCGTGCGCGAGCGTTCAGGTCTGAAGGAATTTCTCCATGGTGTGTTCATCAAATAGGCAGCTCCCTCCCTGTGTAACCTCGTTCCCCTTTAGATTCCATGGTTTCAATTTCATTTCACCATCAATATCCCGGGCATCCCCTCCCCCCTGTAACCCGTCCTTCACGACATGCCGACTGCACCCCGGCAGTCGAACAATGAAGCAGTGGCAAAACACCCCCCCCACCCAACCCGACCCCTTTCCCTGCGTACCCATCCTCCCCACCGGCCCTTTCCCCACAGTCGAACAACGAGGCGGTGGCGGCACGCCTGGCCCCGCCCTCGACGCACTTCGTTCTCGAGTTTGTGCGCCCCGACACCCCTCCACAACCAGCCCAACATCCCTTTCCCTGTGTACCCATCCCCACTGGCCCGCACCCCTTGGCAGTCGAACAACGAGGCGGTGGCGGCGCGCCTGGCCCCGCCAGCAACGCACTTTGCTCTCGAGTTTGTGCGCCCCGACTTCATCCTCCTGCGCGTCCTCGCGCGCTCCCTCATCCTCTGGGACAGGTGCGCGCATCCTCTGGGACAGGTGCGCGCATCCTCTGGGACAGGTGCGCGCATCCTCTGGGACAGGTGCGCCCATCCTCTGGGACAGGTGCGCCCATCCTCTGGGACAGGTGCGCCCATCCTCTGGGACAGGTGCGCCCATCCTCTGGGACAGGTGCGCCCATCCTCTGGGACAGGTGCGCCCATCCTCTGGGACAGGTGCGCCCATCCTCTGGGACAGGTGCGCCCATCCTCTGGGGCAGGTGCGCCCATCCTCTGGGACAGGTGCGCCCATCCTCTGGGACAGGTGCGCCCATCCTCTGGGACAGGTGCGCCCATCCTCTGGGACAGGTGCGCCCATCCTCTGGGGCAGGTGCGCCCATCCTCTGGGACAGGTGCGCCCATCCTCTGGGACAGGTGCGCCCATCCTCTGGGACAGGTGCGCCCATCCTCTGGGACAGGTGCGCCCATCCTCTGGGGCAGGTGCGCCCATCCTCTGGGACAGGTGCGCCCATCCTCTGGGACAGGTGCGCCCATCCTCTGGGACAGGTGCGCCCATCCTCTGGGACAGGTGCGCCCATCCTCTGGGACAGGTGCGCCCATCCTCTGGGACAGGTGCGCCCATCCTCTGGGACAGGTGCGCCCATCCTCTGGGACAGGTGCGCCCATTTTTTGAGGCAGGTGCGCTCAGGCCTCATGCAGAATGAAGATCCAAATCAACTCCGCTAGCATGAGTATGATCTTCGCTGTATGTGTGGTGTGGTGGGGTATATGCTACGCTATGCAAGAGCAAGAGCCGGGCAGGGCCTGATCCGACCTGGGCTGGCCCGGATCCATGGGGGGTTCAGGCTTAGAATGTCTTGGGGATGGTCCAGGCCATGGAAGACAAGAATCGTTGTACCTTCTCTGTCCTCAAACCCAGAATCCGCCGTTCCTCCTCCCCATTGGTCAACTCCTCCTACCCTCCCACATCCCCAACACCCATCGGGCCATTCCCACCTTATCTCTCGTCCCCACCCCACCCCAACCCAACCCCCACTGCAGCGTGCGGCCGTCAGAGGAGTGGGTGGCAGCGCAGGTGCCGCACATCATCCGTGCCGCCGCTGCTGCCTCCGGGGGAGGAGGCGAAGGGGGGAGTGAGGAGGAGGACGAGGAGGTGCGGGGTGAGGGGAAGCGCGGAGGGGAGGGGGGAGGGGAGGGGGAGGCGGATGTGGACGAGGAGGCCATGGCTCTGGCGCTGTGCAACGTGCTGGCAGGCTGCTGCCTCTCCATCGGTGAGTCGCACCATGCCACGTGTTGCCTCTCCATTGGTGAGTGTGAGTCCCATTATGGCACTGGCCTGGGTGCTGGGTAGCTGGGCAGGCTGAGTAGGGTGTGGGGATAGACTATGTGTGGATGGGGGGTCATAGCGTGCAGGGCAGGCCATGGTGCAAGCCGGCATGTGTCTATTGGCCCTCACACCTTCCATCCACCCACATTTGCGCCTCCTCCCACTGCCACACGTTCCTGCCTATCACACCTCCATCCTCCCACCCTTTGCTTCTCTCGCTGCCTTCACTCCACCTCCTCATGTGTCTGTCCTCACTCTGTCTTTCCGTCCCCCATCTCTTTCTCCTCCCCTCTCCCCCACACAGGGCTGCGCTATGCAGGTTCAGCCAATGGCGAAGCAGAGAAGCTTCTCCGAAGCTACGCACTGCTGTTCTTCTTCCTCCGAGAGGTGAGATGCCCGCAGAGGTGTGAGAGGCGCGCAGAGAGGTGAGTAGTGCTTGGAATATGGGCTGTGGAGGAAGGAGGGCGATGGTAGAGGAGGTGGTACCAAGAAGGGCATTGTCCATATGTGTGTTTCCAAAAAGCATGCCCATGTGTGGTGCATTCACTCTCTGCTCTTCTCTTCCCTCCCCTTCCTATCTCCCACAACCCATCCCCTTCACCCCACCCCCCTCGCTCGCCCCATCCCCCTCCCTCGCCCCATCTCCCTCACCCCATCCTCCTCACCCCACCCCCCTTGCCCCATCTCCCTCACCCCATCCTCCTCACCCCAACCCCCTTGCCCCATCTCGCTCACCCATCCCGCCCTCACTGCAGCGCCGGCCCGTCACGGCGGGCTGCCCATTTGCCGTGCCACTGCAGCACTGGCGGGCGCTGCTGGACGCCCGCACACTCGACACCGCCGTCAACGCTGCCGTGCTCTCCCTCTCCCTCGTACACTCTACTGCCTCTCCTTCACTCTGCCCACATTCGTTCACTCTGCTCTCCCTCGCCCTCCTACACTTTGCTGTTCTCCCCAACCCACCCTTCCTTCTCGCAACACGCTCTTGCTCCTGCCATTCTCCACGCTTTCTTCTTCCATTTGTTTCTTCCTTCTCTGTTCGTAACCACTTCCCTCACCTCCCACTGAACTCCTCCCCCTCTCTCCCCCCCCCCCAGGTCATGGCAGGAACGGGCCATCTGCCATCGCTGCGTCTGCTGCGTTTCTTCCATCGCCGTACCGCTGATGCCGCCGATGCCGCTGCTGTCAACGCCGCAACCACCTATGGCTCGCACATGGCGGTATGCCTCTAAGCTCACATGGTGCATGGCTGTGTGATTGTGTTTGCACTCCCTCGTTTCACTCCTTCCGTCTCCCGCATCCTTCCTTTGGGATGTCTTCATAATCCTCCTCCCCTTCCCCTCCCCTGCATCCACCCCTCATCAGGTGAGCATGGCGATCGGTTTCCTGGCCCTCAGCGCATGCCAGGCCACCTTCTCCACGTCGCCAGTTGAGACGTCTCCATAACCCCCATCCCCTCCACAACACTTCTCCCCTTCGCTCCCCTCCCCCTCCTCCCACCCCCAGGTGAGCATGGCGATCGGCTTCCTGGCCCTAAGCGCCTGTCAGGCCACCTTCTCCACTTCGCCTCCTGCCGTGGCAGCGCTGCTGCTCGCGCTCTTTCCGCACTTCCCCTCCTCGCCCTCCGACCACCGCTGCCACCTGCAGGTAAGATGCTCTGTGCTGCCGCCTGCTGTTGACCTGCCGGCTGCAGTGCAGGTAAGCTGTGCCAAACTCTGTGGCGTGCGGTAGGAGAGGGTTGTGCACGGAGGGGCAGACGACAGCTGGCTGTTAAAGGATTTTGAGGGCTAGGGGAGTCGGACACTAGGGAGAGTTAGTCAAGTGGCGAAGAAGAAAACGAGGGTGGAGGGAGGAGGTGCTTATGAGTGGCCAAATGATGCGGGCATTATTGTTTTCTGGGTGCACCAAACGTCTTGCCCGGAATATGAGCCCTTCAGTCCCCTGAACAGATAGACATGGGCAGATGGATGAGTGGAGTCGAGACGTGAGATATCCTATCCCTCACCCCTCACCCCTCACCATCTCGCTCCCCTCCCCCTCCCCCTCTTTGGCAGGCTTTGCAGCACTTCCCATGCAATCCCCTTCTCCCATCCCCTTCTCTCCCTGCCAGGCGTTGCGGCATTTTTAGAGTCTCTTTTCCCTCACCTCCCTTGTCCTTTCCCCCCCCTCTCCCGTCCCCTTGCACTCTCCCCCCCACCTGCCAGGCGTTGCGGCATTTCTGGGTGTTGGCGGTGGAGGAGAGGGCGTTCGTGGAGGCTGTGGATGTGGACACGTGGCAGCCTGTCATTGCTCCATTGCACCTCACCCTCAAGCCCTCTGACTCCTCCAGCCCAGCCGCGCTGTCGCTGCACACGCCGTGCCTGCTGCCGCCGCTGCCTCAGGTGCTCACGCCATTTGCATTAGTTGCTCTACGGTTTGCCTCGGGTGTTCTCTCCGTTTCCTTCAGGTGGTCACTCTATTTCCATTAGGTGCTGCTGAGCTGAGGTATTGGGAAAAGGGAAGCAATTGGAAGGAACCACACATGGGGTATACAAGAGCACATGTTTAATCAACACATTGTCCAGTTAGACTCAAACCTTACTCTTTTCTGATTGGCCCGTGTTGAACCGGCCCGGGACTGACTTGGGCTAAATCGCCACAAACCCGAGCATATCTCCATCCCACGGCAAATCTCTCATTCCAGCCGCACCTACTGATTCTACAAATGTGGCGCTGTGCAGTGTGCATTACTCAAGTCAATCGTTCGTGCAAGCCATTTCAAACAGGGCATTGCGGTGTTTTTCACTTAAGAGACAGTAGATGCGAACAGGCTGGTTCACTGTGACCCCAGCCAGTGGTGGTAGCAAGCACGTGTGGAGTGGCTCTAGCAGTGACAGGCACGGCCTGGGGGATGTGATGTGATGCCAAGAATCAACGGCCTCTTGGACCCACACTCGCCTTCCTGCCTCTCCACCCACCTGCAACCGCTCCACCCAACTCACCATGCCACCCTGCCACTGCCTCTTCTGCTGCCTGCTGTCAGGCTTTCACCCCATCGTACACTCTCTCTCCCCCACCTCCCTCTCGTCCTCCTTGTACTTCTCTCCCGGTTTCCCCCCGTCAGCTGAGGGAGCTGCGGCTGTGTGGCCGCAACTTCTGGCCGCTGCGAGTCGCAGCGAGGATAGCAGGTCTGCGCCATGTGTGGCATGCGTAGGGGATCCATGTGCCATGCACGTGGCTTGAATGTGGCATGGCATGGATGTGGTGTGGATGTGCAGCATGAATGGAGCATGTATGTGGCATGCATGTCATTGGCTTGTGAGGTTTCATGTGAAATGTCATGTGGCATGCTGCGAGTTGCATGTGTTGTATTTCTCCCTATGTTCTGCTCCTCAGCACTTTTTTCTTCTTGCCATCTTTGCTCCTTCCTCCCGTTTTCCATTGCTCCTTGCTCTCCCTTCTTCCTCACTTCTGTCCAGTCATGATTCTCATTTCCTTCAGCTTGCCCCTCTGTTTTCCTCCTTTCCCCATATCTTGGAAGTCGCTTCTAACCTCCTTTAATCACTTTATTGCTCCGCTGCTCCGTTCTCCTCTCCTCACCTCCCTCACTGCAGACCCATCCCGCCCATCCCTGCGAGCCACGAAGGGAAGGCGGCGAGGGGGGCAAGGAGCAGTTGCTGCAGTGGGGGGTGGGGGGCGGAGGGCGTTGGGGTGGGCAATGGGAGCGGGTGTAAGTGGGGAGGGCAGTGAGGGGAGGCACCTGGTGCTGCTGGTGAAGGGGCGCGGGGCACAGGGTGGTAGCGGTGGGGGTGCAGCAGAGGGCGAGGGGGGAGGCCATGGGTCGCGCATGGGGGAGGAGGTGAGCGCTCATGTCATGTGCCGTGCCACGGTCACTGTCTCGCCCGCTTTACCAACAACTTAGTGCTGCAGCCGTCACTCCACCTGAAGTACATCGAGCATCTTCTGTTCCAGGTTTAGGGTGCGCGGCTGCAAGTGCAGTGAGCGTTGCATGAGAATCTCATGTATTTCATCCTTGCTTCTGTCTCCTTCCTTCCTCTCACCCCAAATCCCCGACGTTCCTGCTCCCTCCCTTCTTCCCCGCCCTTCTCCTTCTCTTGCATCAGTGGCCATCTCTCCCTACAGCCCCCCTGCCCCACTTACACTCCTTACCTTACCCATTCCCCTCCGACCCTCCAGACACATGCATCCCTCTACATTCTTCACACCCACCTCTTTCCCCACCCAGTTCTTTCACCCATCCTCTCACGCCCGTCATCTCGCACCCATTTTCCACATTCTCACGCCCTCTCCCGGCCAGTCACCGCCCGCCTCAGCGAGGAGCATGGCAGCCGCCCTGCCAGTGGCCGACCCCGTCCTCTCCGCCTTCCACCGCCTCTTCTGCCGCCCCTCACCGCACACTGCTGTTCAACCCCGCGAACTCTCAAGGTGGGTGTTTCTCTCCTTCCCAGCACTCGCTGTCCCCATTGTTGCCGCTCTGCCACTCCTTTCGCCTCACACCGCCTCCTCACACCTCACCCTCCTCACACACATTTTCAGCCTGTCTCTGCTCTCTGCCCGTCTGCCCTCCATGCATTGTGTGTAGAGCCCATTCATCCTGCTTCCAACCACTGCTCCTTCTCTCACTGCCCCTCTCCCCCATGTACATGCAGCCATGAGGGCTTCTCATCCGCCTGCCAGGCAGCGCTGCTCATGGCACATGCAGCGGAGCAGCCAGAGCTGCTGGAGGTGAGCACACCACACTGCACCACACCACACCACACCACTCCACATTGCACCACACTGCACCACACCACACTGCACCACAGCACATTGTACCTTGTGTGTGCCTGGATGCACATTTCATTACCCTTGATGTATCGGATGTTTGTGGTCTCCTGTTTTTACAGCATGCATAGCAATCATTGTTACGTGATCGCTTCCGAGTCATCAATTTTCCTATGTGCCCTCTCTCTACCCCCACCTCTCCCTGGCAGGTCCTCCTCTCTCTCGCCACCACCTGCCAGGCCGTGAGCTCGCTGCCTCACGAGCGCGCCACCTCTGGCCCTGCACTGCCCTGCCTCGTCTCCTCCTTCCAGGTGACCTCCTCCGGCCCTGCATTCTTGTAGTGTTACCAGGTGATCTCCTCCGGCCCTGCATTCTTGTAGTGTTGTACGTCTTGGAAACGTGGGCTCCGGGTGTTCCTCCGGTCTCTTTCTCAGATGATGCGAGTGGATATGTGCACGCGGCTTCAAGGCCCACGCATGTGCTCTGAGTATGCATGTCCCTGTGCTTTTACCTCATGCCACTCCTTCGCGTCCCATACCTCTCCCCATCACACTTTACTTCTTCTCCCTTTTGAACTGCCTGGGCCCATTTGTAAGTTATAAGTTGTTCTCCTCCAGTTCACCCTTGCCCCGTCTCCCACACCCTCCCTCCCTCACCGCAGGTGTTGGAAGCTTTCATTCCATCGCTCCGTGCCCTCTCCTCACCCTCCCCCTCATCCAACCCCTCGCACCTCTCCAGCCTTCCCCAATCGCCCACCCCAGCGCCCATCGTGAGCCCCCTCTTCCTGCGCTCCCTCTGCTTCTCCCTCCATCGCCACCTGCTTGCACTCGCCCACCCCGCCTCTCATCCCTCCACATCACCCCTCCTTCGCCAACACCTGGAGGACTATTCTCACCGCGCCCTGCTCCTGTGGCGGCAACAGGAGCAGCAGCAGGCATCACACTTGGCAGGTCTAACAGCACCAGCAACAGCAGGCAGCATCACCCAGCAGCAACCAGGCACTCAGCTCTTCTCCCTCTTCCTCCTCGCATTCGCCTTCCCCTCTCCACTCTCCTTGGGCCGCGCCCTGCACACGGCTATGACCTCGTGCTCCCCACCAGCCTTTGCCGTTTCCTCTCCGGCACCACTCTCCCCTCCCCTTCCGCTGCCGCTGCTGCTGACTCTCCTCCTCCCGCACCTGCGGCAGCACTCAGCTGTTATGGCTATGCTGATGGAGGTTGTACGGAACATGAGATATTGAGTGATTCAAAACAGAGATCTCCTTGTTTGATGAATGATTGATACGCTGGTTAAGCTGAATGGAAATTTGGAAAGCAAAGCACAAAGCGTACAAGTTCTTGCAGTGCCACCCTGGCACCCACATGGTGCCGTACCGCAAGTCACACGCAGCAACACACGCACTCTTGCTGCAAGGAAACTGTTGGATTGGATGACTAAGTTGTTATCTTCTTGTTCATCTCAAGGCCTGAATCAGACGGTAGCAATTACGAGGTGCACTCAGGAACCAGCATATTCTTACATGCAGCGGCCTGCATGCACTGGGCTGCATTGCTGCATCTACCAGCAGAAGAACAAACCATAGAGCATACAATTTACGGTACCGTACATACGGTACGAGTATCCTCCTCCTCCGAGTCATACTCACTCACTCCGAGTAATCCCCTTCCTCCTCATCCTCATCCTCCTCATCCTCCTCCTCCTCCTCCTCCTCCTCCTCCTCATCCTCCTCCTCCTCCTCCTCCTCCTCCTCATCCTCCTCCTCCTCCTCCTCCTCCTCCTCATCCTCCTCCTCCTCCTCCGAGCCACCCGCTGCACGCTCTCCTTCGTCCAGGTTCGATGTACCATAGATCACCATCCTCCGTCTTGTAGACAGCAGCGGGCATCTACTGACGAGGCATCCTTGCAGCTTCCCCATCTGCTGCAGGCCCGTGGGTAACTGAGCCAGCCCCTCACACTCACGCAGGTCCAACTCCTCCAGTCCGGGCAGCTGTGAAAAACATTCGGGCAGCCTGTGGAGCTTGGGCAGTGACACCAAAGAGAGGCTTTTCAAAGCAGAGAGCTTCCAGAAGTCGTCTGGAAGGCATGAAATTCCGACCTCGCACAAATAACACGATTCCAGATTGCAGAGATCAGGGAAGGACTCGGGAAGCCTGGTTAGGCCCGGGCTGTTGTCAATCTCAAAATTCTGAAGCTTCTTCAGCTGCCCGAGTGACTCAGGCAGAGCAGTAAAGCTCATAACTTCGGAAAGTCGGAGGGATGTGAGGGCTGAGAGCTGCCCTATTGTCTCTGGCAGAGAAAGCAGGCTGTCGACATGGATGATCGCGAGTGACTGCAAGCGAGAGAGGCGAGAGATGGAATCTGGGAGCGAGCGAAGCCGATCCAATCTGAACATTTCCAGCCTGGTTAGCGATGAAAAGCAGCCCAGCGATGGACCGAGCTGCTGCAGGGGAAGATTCATCAGCTGAAGGAACTCGAGGGACGGAAGCATCACAACCGTGCCACTCTCCTCGGATCCCCCACAGCTGTTGGCGCCATTACTGCTACCAGTGTGACCGGCTACCTTGAGGTGGGTGATTCTCCCCCGAAGCTCTTTCCCGGCAGCTCCCGTGTGTGCATCCCCCGTGTGTGCATCCCCCGTGTGTGCATCCCCCGTGTGTGCATCCCCCGTGTGTGCATCCCCCGTGTGTGCATCCCCCGTGTCCTCATCCCCAAACAGCGACTCACACGCCGTGCAGGAAGTCACATCCAGAGATTTCAACAGCGGCAGCTGATATAGCGAGCGAGGGAGCGACTTCAGGTCAGGCAATTGTGAGAGCTTAAGTGTTTCAAGCGCTCCCAGCCGTCCGATCTCCTCTGGCAGCGCCTTGATGTGCATGCAGCTGACCACAAGGCTGGTGAGAGTGAGGCCAATGGCAGGGAGAGAGGCGGGCAGGGCGGGCAGGTGTGGCAGGGAGGAGAGAGAGTTCTTCTTGAGGCTTGTCATGTGGGAGAACTTGTCTGGTAGTGCGCCTTGTAAGCTGGGTGCTTCAGAGATTTCTAGGGTTTCGAGGGAGGAGAGGCTGGAGAAGGATGGAGGGAGGTGGGAGAGAGCCGTGCATTTGAACAGAGCAAGCCTGCGCAGCCTGCGCAGACCATACCCCAAGCCCTGTGGTAGAGCTGTCAGCTTGGAGCAGTGACTGATTTCCAGCAGCTCAAGGGCCGACAGTTTAGTCAGGGAGCCTGGAAGCTGTGTCAGCAAGCTGCATGTGGCTATTTTCAGCTCCTTGAGGCTCGTCAGGTCGCCAAGCGATGCAGGCAGGCTGCTGAGCTGCGGAAGCTCAACCAGGCGCAGTATCTCCAGAGCAGTGAGCTGCCCGAATTCCTCGGGCAGAGATTGTAGAGCTAAGAAGTTTTCAAGCGTAAGCTCTTTGAGTGCAGTTGCAAGGATTATGGAGGGAGGCAGGCGGACGCGAATTCCGCACAGCTTGAGCGTGCGCAGGCATGGCAGTAGAGCGACGTCGTCAGGCAGATGGTGGAGTGGTAGGCGGTCGAGGATAAGGTCCGTTAGAGAGGGCAGGTGGGAGAGGGAGCTAGGGAAAGATACTATTTTGTCGCAGTTGATTATGCAAAGGAGCCGCAACCGCTGCAGCTGCCCGAGACTCGCGGGCAGGTTGGTTATCCCCCCCACGTCTTTAAGACGAAGGGTTTCAAGCGCCGGCAGGTTCCCGAAACCCCCGGGCAACGGAGAAATTCGGCACCACCAAATATCGAGGGTGAGTAAGGATGAAAGGTTGGAGATGGATTCGGGCAGCTGAAGAATTCTCCTGGAGGCGTTGATGGAGAGATGCGCCAGGTTGGTAAGCTGCCCGAAAGTATTGGGAATTGAGCGGAGACGCGTGCATTCCAGCCGGAGCGACTTGAGCAGCGTCAGATTGCCGAAGTTGTGAGGCAGTTCATCCAGACCGTTCATTTCAATCACGAGATGTGTGAGTGCATGTAACGAGGTGAACGCGTCTGGAAGGAAAGCGATTCTGCCCCTGTCGGTGATGTGCAGGCTCTTGAGTGACGCAAGGCCGCCGATTGTGGACGGAATGGCGGTCAGATTCGACTGACAATCAAGATGAAGCGCCTCCAGCCGCGTGCGTTTCTCAAAGAGATGCGAAAGCCCGTTCTTAGTGAAACCCCCGCGTCTGTACTTTCGTTCCATTCTATCGACGTGGAGGTCCGTCAGATCTGGACACGTGTCGGCTATCCGCGAGAGGAGGGAGTCAGGGACGGACGTGATGCTTCCATTGGCGAGAACGAGCTTTCGGAGCCTTGGGAATGACGACAGGTGCGCGAGAAGCTCAAGAGGACTCATGCGACGCGCTTCGCGAATGTGGATGTGGTCGTGCACGCGACAGGCGATGCGATGCCATTTCTTGCACACAAGCGCGTGCTGGAACTGACCGTCGGATCGACCGACGAGACGGAGGATAACCGAGAGAAGATCGTCTGACAGCTGTCCGATCGGTAATGCAGCAGCCATTCCGACTAAATAAGAAAATGCCGTTGAAACTAACATAAGTGCTTGACGACTTATAAGGTCGCAGTGAAAGTCGACGCTGGAAAACAACTGCAAATGAAACAGCAGAACCTTGTGTGAGGGCGACATCAGCTTGTACGCCCACTGAAGTTTGTTTCAACACGGTTCAGAGCGGTTAACTTATAGAACCGCTTTTCACCGTGTTGGACCGTCCTGAGCCACGATAATATAACTGTAAACGCCTGAGAATCGTATATTCTGACGTCGCCCTGAGGGAGTTATTGCGAGCGACAAGACAGTCACCAGGTTGGTGGGCGGGAAAAATAGAATGTACACTTCAGTGCGGTGAGGTGAGATGATGTGGGATAATAATGGCTGAAGCCTGAGTGTGAGAGAATCGCTGCAGACACGCAGCCTCACGGCCTTTTGAGCCACCTACGATCTGCTGCTCCTCCAGCACGCCTTTTCGGCATGTCCCCACCTCGGCACCAGTGCCTGACGGGAAAGCCGTGCGCAGCTAACGTGTCGGAAGACCGACAAACGCGCATTTCCGACAATGCATGCAACGCCATGCCACGGTCCCCCCTTCCAGTCACAAACCGACGGGCCGAATTGCCACATCGGCGATGCGGCGATCGGGAATTGGCGATTCGGGTGTGCTGTGAGTCTACTTAATCCAGCACTTGGAGAGAAAGGCTCCCGCCAGACGCGATATCATCGACGAGAATAGATTCTGGAATTACTCTCGCCCTAGTATATCTGAAGTTACTCTCAACGGTCACACGGTTAATCGCGGAGATTCTCGAGGCGCCTCGGAAGTTGATATTAACGGTCACATGGCTGACCAGGGGGTCGCGTGTACTACTGGGACGTCTACGCGAATGACGACGACGTGCGAGCGATGTGGGCCCAACCGAGTGTTAAGTTGCTGTAGGAGCAGAGGCGAGAAGCATCCGAGAAGGTTCTGTTTAAGATGGGGAGAGCCTTACCTCGTGCTTGAAGGTAGAGATAGGGGAGAGAAGATGAGGGAGATATAGGATGAGGGAGTGCGTTTTAGAGTATGCCTCTTCTTCTTTTTTTTCTTTTTCTTTTTCTCTCTCTTTTGTGTAAATATTTTTTTGCCTCATGTCGTGCTTGAAGGTAGAGATAGGGGAGGGGGAGTGAATGAGAGACGAGTGCAGAAATGAGGCAAGTGTGAGGGTGAGAGAAGCCGTTTTGACCGGGCCTATCCCACACTCTACTTCAACCATCTCCATCCCTCTCATCACCAACTCCCTCCCTCTCCCCTTGCTCCCCCAGAGATTCAGGCGGTGGCGTCAATTCTCCTGCGCCGCCACTTCAGCGAGCGGCTGGCGCCTGTGGACATGCAGGGCCGTGAGGTATTTTGAGACTTCTCAACATGAAGAGCCATGAGGGGGAGCTGGTGTGTGCAGTGGCACGAGTGGAGAGCTCGTGGGAGCCGCTGGCGTACAGATTCGAGCCGCACAAGGGGGAGGCCAGCACGGGGCTCACGCAGGTGCGAGAGATTGGGAGCGGGAGGGAGTGAGGGCAGGGAAGCGTGTTCGTTTGGGAGAGAGAGGTGTCTCTAAAAAGCGTGAAAAGCCATCGTGGGAACGCGGGCTCATGCAGGTGCGGGAGAGACGTGTCATTTCAGCTGATTTGGCATGTCTCACTCGCTGCACGGAAATCCACAGCCAGGATGACATGCTTTTCGACACGACATGTCTTCCTAACTGTGAGCAGGTGCTGCAGTTAACAGCCAAGTGGCTGGCAGAGCACATGATGATGGGGTACCGCGCCTACACCGTGGACTGGGCGTCTGCAATGCTCTCCCGCCCATTCCAGGGGATGTACTATGGCATGGCGTACCTCACATGGCTCTCCCACTTCAAGGGCGTGTGAGTGATGCTTCAGACATGTGTCTGCATGTCACGCTGTGGACTGGGCGTCTGCAATGCCCTACCGCCCATTCCAGGGGATGTACTATGGCATGGCGTACCTCACATGGCTCTCCCACTTCAAGGGCGTGTGAGTGATGCTTCAGACATGTGTCTGCATGTCACGCTGTGGACTGGGCGTCTGCAATGCTCTACCGCCCATTCCAGGGGATGTACTATGGCATGGCGTACCTCACATGGCTCTCCCACTTCAAGGGCGTGTGAGTGATGCTTCAGACATGTGTCTGCATGTCACGCTGTGGACTGGGCGTCTGCAATGCTCTCCCGCCCATTCCAGGGGATGTACTATGGCATGGCGTACCTCACATGGCTCTCCCACTTCAAGGGCGTGTGAGTGATGCTTCAGACATGTGTCTGCATGTCACGCTGTGGACTGGGCGTCTGCAATGCTCTACCGCCCATTCCAGGGGATGTACTATGGCATGGCGTACCTCACATGGCTCTCCCACTTCAAGGGCGTGTGAGTGATGCTTCAGACATGTGTCTGCATGTCACGCTGTGGACTGGGCGTCTGCAATGCTCTACCGCCCATTCCAGGGGATGTACTATGGCATGGCGTACCTCACATGGCTCTCCCACTTCAAGGGCGTGTGAGTGATGCTTCAGACATGTGTCTGCATGTCACGCTGTGGACTGGGCGTCTGCAATGCTCTACCGCCCATTCCAGGGGATGTACTATGGCATGGCGTACCTCACATGGCTCTCCCACTTCAAGGGCGTGTGAGTGATGCTTCAGACATGTGTCTGCATGTCACGCTGTGGACTGGGCGTCTGCAATGCTCTACCGCCCATTCCAGGGGATGTACTATGGCATGGCGTACCTCACATGGCTCTCCCACTTCAAGGGCGTGTGAGTGATGCTTCAGACATGTGTCTGCATGTCACGCTGTGGACTGGGCGTCTGCAATGCTCTACCGCCCATTCCAGGGGATGTACTATGGCATGGCGTACCTCACATGGCTCTCCCACTTCAAGGGCGTGTGAGTGATGCTTCAGACATGTGTCTGCATGTCACGCTGTGGACTGGGCGTCTGCAATGCTCTACCGCCCATTCCAGGGGATGTACTATGGCATGGCGTACCTCACATGGCTCTCCCACTTCAAGGGCGTGTGAGTGATGCTTCAGACATGTGTCTGCATGTCACGCTGTGGACTGGGCGTCTGCAATGCTCTACCGCCCATTCCAGGGGATGTACTATGGCATGGCGTACCTTGCATGGCTCACGAATTTCAAGGGCGTGTGAGTGGTTGACATGTGTTTTTGCATGTCATGCTGTAGAAAGAAAGCTCTTGTATGGGCGACCTGGGTTGACATACAAGGGAAACCCTGGGGGTGGTACAGACAATGCACTCGCCCGCTCCCTCTCCGCTCCCACCATCCCAACCCCCCATCCCTACCCTACCGCCCCTCCCCCTACCCGTCCCACTACCCCTCCCTCAACCCCTTCCCCTCCCCCTCCCCCTTCCCCCACCACTCTCCCTCATCAGCCATCGCAGTGAGGGCATACAACAGAGGCGGGGGGGGGGGGGGGGTGGATAAGCCACCCACAGCAGCAGTCTACTGGAGAAGGCACCTCAAGGCAAAAGAGGTGAGGGTGGGGTGTGGTGTGGACGGGTGCGTGGGGGTAAGGAGATTTCAGGGTGTGGTTGTGCGTGAGGAGTAGGAGGCTAGTGCGGTTTTGCACAGCAGTGGCAAGATGTTTGATGCAGTCGTGCTGGCCGTGCTGTATTGTAGAACCTTATGAGCGTTGCCACTATACGCAGACTGGGCAAGGAAACTTGTGCAGTGCGCATGATTCGTCTGACTGGTATCAGTGCCCTATTAAAATTCGCACGTCCATCCAATCTGCTGGTGATTGCAGGAGATATGCAGGATGCCAAAGGAGACACGCACCATGCCACGTGGCTCATCCACTCCATCCCTGCCGTCAACATCTCTGTCATTTGCACCATGCCGATCTCCAGCCGTCCATTCCTGTATCCACTCTAGTGTTACATGTTACTCTGACTGGGAGCAGGAAATGGTTCACATGTTACGTGGCTCGACCAAGGGAGCCCAGGGAATGCTTGACATGCTACAAGGCTCATCCATGTCAGTACAGTTGCTCATCCGTGTCAACACCAGAAATGGCCGAGAATCCACGTGGCCCATCCATGTCAGCACAGGAAATGCTCAACGGGTGACGTGGCTTGCCCATGTCAGCACAGGAAATGGTCGACATGTCACGCCACTCATCCATGCCAATTTATAGATTGCTTGACATGGCACTTGGCTCGTCCATGTCCTTGCATGAAATGACCCTTGTGCTCCGCGGCACATCCATGTCAGTGCAGGAGATGGTTTGGCATGTTACGCCGCTCATCTATGTTGGTACAGGAAATGCTCTACAGGCTGCACCGCGTATCTATCTGGTTACTTCATACGGAAGTACGTGCTGGGACACCACTAGGGAACACCTCAAATAGAAGATGTAAGCACTGGTATATAGAAAATGTTATGAAGATACGTGATGTGATTATATACAGCTGTGTGAACTTGAGCATCACTGGTATATGTTCATTTTGCTGTTATTGCATGTAATCCATGCACTTGCGTTTTGACAAGTTCCTACCCCCATAATTGATACGCCATGCTGCAGCATCTTGAGTGTTTGCAAAAGAATCGTTAGTCCCCATATAAATGTTGTACATATAACCTACCGTAATTTGCAAAAGCACATGCCATATTATGGAGTGCATCCTATCAAACTCCTCTCTGTAACCAAGCCACCTCACCTATGTTAAACTGTTATATGTTGGTAGGCTGTAGTGGGGTAGCCAGTATGGGGTACAACCCCAACTAGGGTTAGCTACTTGTACCCAACTGTTTCATTCAATGCCACATTCTCACGCTAGTATTCTGATATGGTATTCAGAGCAGGTGGTCCCTAGGACCATCCGATCGTTTTTTTTAGGGCCCACCACCGCACGCTGCGGTTACCGCGTTACCCCCGCGCCCTACCCTCGTAGCGCCCTCGTTGCGCTCTAGCGCCCTCGTAGCGCCCTTTGTAGCGCCCTCGTGCGCCCTGCCGACCGGCGTCCTGCCAGCCCAGAGCCCCGCGCGCCTCCCCTGCTTTGCCCGTCGCGCCGCCCGCTCTGCCCCGCGCTGCCCGTCGCGCTGCCTCGCAGCCCCGCGCACCGCCCGCTGTGCCCCGAGCCGCCCGTCGATCTGCTGCGCAGCCCCGCGACCCGCCCGCCCTGCCCCGCGCTGCTCGTCGCTCGGCTCTGCAGCCCCGCGCGCCGCCCGCTCTGCCCCGCGCAGCCCGTCGAGCTGCCTTGCAGCCCCGCGCGCCGCCCGCTTTGCCCCACGCCGTCCGTCGCGCTGCCCGCCCGCCCGCCGTGCTGCCCGCTTGCGGAGTCGCCCGCCTGTCGCGCTGCCCGCCTGCAGCGCCGCCTGCCTGCCGCGCTGCCCACTTGCAGAGCCGCCCGTCCGCCGCGCTGCCCGCTTGCAGCGCCGCCTGCTGCTCCCTGCCCGTGCGCAATTGCCCGCCCCTGCTGTGGTAGCTTGCGTTGCTCTGCCGTACTGTCGTTATGGCTTCCATCCGCGTGCTTTCGTTCGATGCTGAGGGCCGCCCTGTGCAGTTCACCACTTGGCTAGATGACCTGCAGCTGTTCCTCCTGAGC